ATGTCATGTCATGTCATGTCATGTCATGTCATGTCATGTCATGTCATTCATTTCATCATTGCATGCATTCATTCATTCATTCATTCATTCATTCATTCATTCATGCATGAACGTTGTGCATGGGTGCATTCAAGTTGCATGTTAACATGCATGTTGCGATGTTGCAAGTCATGGCACGGCTCAGCATGGCTCGGAGTATTGGCTCGGAGGCTCAACGATCCGATCCCTTTGACCATCGACACGCAAACCGTGTCGACTGGACATGGACGTCACCCGCCGTCACTGACGTCCACAGATTCGGTCAGGACGTCTGGGTCAGCTATCAGCTCTAAGTTGTGCGGAGCGATCAGCTTGCTGCCATGCGCGGAGAGGTTGGGATTTCACCAACACGCCAAACATGGGAACACGATGGAACACGTGCTTCAAAGCACCTGAGCAACTCGAAGAGCGGCCGTTCCCGACCAATCCGGAGGATCTGTGGGGCGCCGTTGAAGCAGTGCCGTCGAACGGAACGGAACGGCTGGAAGCTGCAAACCGTGCACCGTGCTGTGTGGGCAGCTGAAACGATATATCGCCATGTTTTGCCGAAGCTTCCAGTCCCAAGTGATGATTTACCACTTGGATTCACGTTTTTTTCTGAAGAAACACACATCCAACTGATCAAGCAATGTGGCATGGCGATGTGACGATGTGTTTAAATATTTGGAAAAAAAGCAGTGAACTGGGAGTAGCCTTTGATTCCAAAATTAATCCTGCATGCAAATATTCCGCATAAATATAGGCAGCAGGCTGTCTTCAACCATAAATGCTTTCAGAACGTTGATGAGACTTCTGACTTCGAAGTCATCGACGGAGTTCGTCTGCGATGAAAAGGGTGGCCAGTGGCGGTCCGAGACCGACCGGTTGACCTACCGAGGTGACAGTCGTTCGTGGGCTTGGCCGTTCGTTTTTCTGCGCGTGTGTGGTTGCCCAAGCTTGACTTGCTGACAGATGAAGCATGATTTAGGGAGTCGGCCAGGTCAAAGCCCAATTCGCCATCAGATGTTCATCACCATTCATCACTGTAGGCGGCGGAACTATTAAAAAACAGGTTTGAAAAAGGGAACTTTAAGACAGACTTGTCTTTTCATGTCTTGTCAGTTCAATTGGTTTCTTTCTTGGGCTTTGAAAGGACTCACTTGTGTGATTCTTTTTGAGATCCCTGACTACTCTCTAATCAATGTTCTCCATCATGGAAGTGGGACATGCAGGACCCTATTGGAAGGATTCTAACAACAACAACAACAACAGCAACAACAGCAACAACAACAGCAACAACAGCAACAACAGCAACAGCAACAACAACAGAAACAGCACCAGCACCAGCAACAGCAACAACAGCAGTAGCTACTAGGGGCTCCTGGCATCGCTACTAGCAAGTAGCTACTCGGGTCGCAAAGTTGGTGAAAATCACCCCGTTCGCTCCATGGTTTCGGCAAGTTGTTTCGATCTGAACCTCATGACGGTTGGAGCTGACCTGATAGAAGGAACAACATATGCCTCCAACCTCTATGCCAGCGCTTATAAATTCTCAAAGCCGCATTTATTTGATGTAAGGCCTTGGAACACTGCCAAACTAAACCTGGGACATGCCAAACTGAATTGTAATCATCAATTTATTTCTGTCCCCATCGCTGGTCTTCTGCGAAAAAACCACTTCATCGCGCCGTTTCGTCGCGAACGTTTAGGGTCGCTGTTTCGGTTCTGAGATCCCCTGCATTCAAACAATCAGGCTTCAGCTTCTCATAGTAGGACTCCGCAGCTTCCAGCTCCTGGTTCCGCGGAGTCCACCGATTCACGACGGAGGGAGGGATCTGGCTCCGGAGGTTCGACGAGATCGACGTCACCGACGATGGTACGGGGCTTAACCTCGAAAGTACCTACGACGTCTGGGTTCGGTGATGACTGGACCTCTCAGAAGCTAGACCTAGGTAGCGAATGTTCCTATAGCGATGCCCTATTAGCTATGTTCGGTTCGCGTCCGATCGCTCCGTTCGTAGCGATGCCGTAGCTTCTTGTTCCGTTCGTAGCAATGCCAGGAGCGCCCCGTTTCGTAGCTTCTTGTGACGAAACGAAGATGCGACGAACGTCGGTCCTTCTCGGTGCCCCTCAGATCTGCCTGGGTCGAGCGGCTCGCGGCTTGCGAACCGCAACGAACACGGGTGTGACGGGCGGAGATGGCCAAAAGACACATGGAAACCGATGTCAAAGGCCATGTTTGGTCCCACTGTTGATCTGGTTTTGTAGTGTAAGATGCTAAAACCACGGTTCTTCGGGATGAAAGGCAATTTTTAAAAAAATATATGGTTCGACTTCTAGGACCATTTCATGTACCAGGACCGGCCCAGAGGTGTCCAATGATGACTTCCACAGTACTGCGCTTCACTGCTGACTTGGATGGCTCGGATTGGGGTAGTATGTTGGTAAAGATAATATTGAATCAATCCAACTCCTCGGGATGTGTTTGCACATCCCAGAATTCAATCTGAATTCCAGAATGGTGGGTTTGGCAGGTTGGAGGATTGGATGGATTGTTCTGCTTCATAGGGTAAGGACTGAGCAAAAATATGGACCGATGACCAATCATGACCAATCCAATGGGAGAGCCCTCTACCATGCTCTAGGGATCCAAGTGCCTTCTCAGAATGTACTTAGACCCTCCAAACCCACATAGCAGTGTCTTCTGAGGAGGTAAATCCCCAGGGATGGTTGCTTGTTTGACAAAGATATTGTCCAATTGACTGTGTCAGACTCGGCACGTGAGGCCCTCTTGACTTGCGTTGAGGCATTCGTGTTTATTGTACCCACGAAGCTCATCTATATAGTGCAAAAATTCTGTCTTCTCATCTATAAAACCAGCCAAGTTTGACAGAAATGTTGCATAGTTGGAAGATCCATTACGTACATATTCAGGATTCAATCTCTTCATGATGTTTCAGCTCAACAAACACCTTGGAGATCCTCACATCGTCAAATCGTTGACCGGTGCCGCGTCAGAAGGCGTACAGTAAAAAGAGCTGCGTGCTTCCGACTTCCCCGTGCCGTTTGTTTGAAGCACTTCTATGTCCAGTTGTCCAGTTGACCTGAGATTTGCCTTATTGAAACTGGGACCCAAACAAACATCTTCCCGTTCGGGGATTCGCCCCCCCCAACCACCGAGAAAACCTTCCGCCACGGAGCTTGGAAGATAACCATCCCGCTTCACACACGATGGCACATCCATGGGACTGGAACAGTTACCACCCCATGTACCCCATGAACATGACCCCAATGATCCCCAATGTAATTGGTATATGATGGTATATCCCATGATCAGTAACAGTGGATGATGATGATGATGATGATGATGATGATGATGATGAGGATGATTAAGGTGCAGGCCAACATCTCTAAAATAGTTGATACGGCCTGGACCGACTGTTACAGGTAAGAACGGACAGACCCTAGTTACATGCATTGACCCGTTTGATACCCTATTGTAGGTACCAATTCCAGTCTGGATCAGCAACCCACCAATTGCTCAGTAGATGTACAGTGGTTTCAGAGTAGATGGCACAATCGCCAAATGGTGGTTTAGAAGGACCCCCGTATTCAAAAAAACAATGTAAGGGTCTGTGCAATCCACTCTGCAACCACTGTACTGGACCCAAGTCGGGACCAGATCCGGAATTTTTGCCCCGACGGATCCAGTCCCAGGCTGTGCCTTGAGACTCAAAAGCTCAGAGCTTTTCTCCTGCTTCCGGGACTTCTTATGCTCTGCTTCCTGCAAGGAGCTGGGTGCTGGATTTCTATGCCTCAAAACACTTAATTACGTCGAGCAAGTTGACAGGGAAACGGAATGATTTGCTCAAAGAACTTTCACCATAAAAAAATATATTACCCTCTTGAAACAAATCGTCGTGGAAGTAAACCAACATTTGCAAAACGATATACTTCCTCCACAAGGCCAGTGTTTTCCCCTTTGTTTAGAGAAGCACTTCTGGGATCTCATTGACCAACTAATTGACCTAATCCTCCCCAATGGTGCATAATGGTGGCATGTCCAAACCAAAGAACCCCGGATCCGCTCACCAATCCCAACTGACAACTGTACCTGTACCTTGACAACTGGGAGTGTAAGTCTTCCTTCCCGGAAGGTTGCTGGGGAGGGTGTGAAAGAACGAACATCTTCCTGCTTCGCTCCGAAACGAATCGATGGCATCGATGGTGGGCATGGCATTGCCGCTGCCAAGCACTGGACCTTCGACATCGGGGCCGGGTGGCAGTCCGAAAGACGGAGCATGTTCTGACTGGTGCTTAGGAAAGAATGAAGGTGGCGATCCTATGGTATCTGTGAGGGGTCATTCTCTCATTCTCTACTAAGCACCAGTCAGAGTTCGAACATGTTTGGATCTGATCAGAGGACAGACATACCGACGGACAATGCCCCCAATCCATCGACATCCGTCGAAACCAGAGAGACAAAAGTGACGGATGCAAAAACATGCGAGAGACTCCTGTTCTCCACTGGGGTTAAACAAAAATAGGCACAGGGTCAAAGCCACGGCTTCAAGATGGTCAAATCATGTCAAATCTCAGGATTCATGTACATTTCATGTTCCCGCGTCGTTCAAAAGCTATCGTTCGACTTTGCTCATTAACATGAATTCTGTCTCCAAATTCTTTGGGATTTTTGACTGGGGCAGGGTCCGTGGTCGAGACCTGCGCGTTGGATGTATTCCAGCCTTGGACTTTTCAACCTTTGTGAGCTTCGACTCCTGCGCTCGCTGGTTCAAGAGCTGTCTGAACAAGAGCTGTCTGCCCAGGCGTGAGAGGTTTACAGGAATTGTCTGAATATCCTCCAGACTTCAGGAAACATGCCAACCAGTAGAAAGAAACATTGAAGGAAAACAACATAAAGAAACACATATATAATAGCGTACAATATCATACAACATGACTCCCACGTCGCTTTCAGAGAAATCACACGGTGATGATGCGAAAAAAAACTGTAGATTTCTGATAGGCCAATCAGCTACCGTACCAGGTGGTTTACCGGTACCAGGTACCTTGGATCCGTACCAGTCTTTGGAAGGAGCGACATCCGTGGCAGTTCTGCTGTACCTCCGACATGGAACGAACGAATTTGACGCTCCGGACGTCCATGTGCCGAGAACGGTCTACGTGGATGGCCCTGGATGACTCGGATGAAAATCCGGGCCATGACCGGTGTTCACTCAATGAAACTATAGATTCTTTCGTGTACCAGCTCCAATACCGAACTGCAGAACAGGGGACCACGGGCGTCCCGAAAACACGATAAAATTGCGGTGTAAAAGAAACTAAAAGATATAGTGAACACATTAACATATTCCCCCCCAAACCGCTATATAGTGAAAACAGTGAAAACATAAGAACTATAGTGGATTTTCGCGAAACACAGATCTCCTCTTGGGTGAAACAACTAATTGACTGTGAAACGATGTGAACCATATCATCACCTACCTGAACCTCACCCAATATAACTACCAACATCACATGCCAAAAACATCTTTGGGACATCCCAGCGTTACAACCGCATTACACTTCCGCACGTTACAACCCTCTCCTCCACAAAGGTCTCATGCTCTTTCGCCGCTGCGGCCTCTCCGAACACGTGGGCTACGGAGGCGCTGGGTGGATGGCTATCCTGGATGCCCCTTTTGTCATGTCACGTTGGGCGTTATTAGTTGACCAAGAATCAACCAATTACTGAAGTGAACCTACCTGAGTTCCGGGCGACCACGTTTGGACCACAGCCATTCCATCCAAAAACCACTCCAGACACCGTGCTGGACATGAGAAACCATTCCAAAACTGGTAATCGAAAAACGTTGGTCCACTTCTGGTTCTGACCAGGTAAACAAATACAATCGTCAGCAGTCATGGCACCATGCTGATTGGATCATATTGGAGAATATTGGATGCTGCCCGTCAACAAAAAAAATAGAACCACTGTTTAGATCATTCTTTGCAACTGCAGGGACATCCTGGATCTGTTTTCCATTCGTCCATCGCGTCCCCGATCTCCGTGTCTGCACGGCAAGTCCGCTGTGCGGGTCACCGGCGGTTTTTGGCCGACGACCAGGTCACGTCCAGAGCCCTCACCGTCCGCAAAGGCCGTGCCTCGCCGATGGTGGTCTCCGCCTCCAAGCGGCTGAAGTCACCTTCGATGACCTGGCACCGGTGGGCAGGCACCGGTGGTGGACAGGAGCACGGAACCTTGTGGTGCTGCGAAAGGAAACCGGAACGAAATGGGATGAACAAAAAGGATGAAGAGGCCTAGCGCAGTGCACCTGCTGCGGAACAGTTGTTCTTTATATAGATGTTTTTTTGTTTGTTGTTGTTGTTGTTGTTGTGGCACGTGCAAGACCTCTCTGCCTTGTATCAAAGCAATGTAATGACTTATAATGATTGATCTTCACTTAAGGCCCCATTTTCTTGACCAAAGAGGTGGACAACTCCACAAAGAGGTGGACACCTCCACGTCCATGATGCCAGGGAGCGTAAACTTTGCTTGAATATCTTTGAATATATCCATCCTATGTGTTGTCTTGGATTTGCTGTCCAGGAAGCTGGAAGGGAAACCATGTATTTCCCATTAAGGGGATTTACATGGATTTACCCATAGGGCCATAGGGAAACTGACAAGTCACCTTAAGCAAAACCAGGTTGTTAGGTGGAGGTTTGCTGGGCGAACAAATCTATACCGCTCAACTGCGCCGACGGTCACGGTGCAGTCACGATGGTGCTTCGGTGCTTCTTGCCTCAGAGTGCTTCCCTGATCCACTGTTGTCTCAACAGGGCAAGACCTTGCAATTCCAAAACACTCCGTCTGAGACTAGTCGGACTAATAGCTACATTGACAAAAAACATCTTCGAATGTAGGACAGTAAACTCAGTAAACAAAGGTAAACATACCACTGCCATAATGTGCCATATGCATGGAGTGTCTGGGATTTGTTGCTCTCCGGCCTTAAGTGCTCATGGGAGATCTTGAGAGAATCTCATTCCCAACAAAGACGATGGTCAGGCAAATGAGTGCCCACAGGACACGTGGCGCAACCAACAAGGTCATGTAAACCGGTGAGTTCGTATCAACCAATGTGCTCCCTTCATGTCCCCTTTCATGACGAGAATGTTTGGTCAATACCATAGTCTCTGTTTTTGTTGCATTGAACTCTCTGTCTTCTTGTATCTTTTTGGAGTGACTATGGTATATGCTTGTTCTGTTTAGACACGTTCATCCCCAATCATTGGATCAGCACTACTCAACGTCATTGAAGAGCGCCCAAATACCGTGGAAGCTTCACGCATTTCTTCAGTTGCGCACGGGTGGATCACATGCCCCCCCGTACCGCCCGGTGCCTCCAACATGGAGATCACACCGCTTTTGGTGTTCTTCATACCTCACTCCGCCACTCCGTCGGCCGTAACCACTCCGTTTTCGGTGCACCGCGGACCGGACCCGGAACGAAAGGGGACGGGTTAAGGTTCCAGAATTGGATTGGCCGGCACCATGCACTAAAGAAGAGCACAGTTTTTGGTTTAGTTCCGCACCCAAACTGAAACTCACCACCAGATACCACCAGTGGATTTCTTTCCGGGCGTCCCACCCGCATGCAGGGCGTTTGAAGCCGTAGGTTGTTAGCTGACAGAATGCCCTATGGCGACCACAACCGCTCCCCAGCCACCTGGAAAGCAAGTAATATCCGCCCAAACGTCTGCGATCCGCCAGCCGCATTCTCGCCATCATCATCACCATCATCAATGTCTTCATCATCCACTGTTACTGGTCATGTATATTTATATACCCCCATGGGTGAGTTTGGAACCCAACGCATTGCTCTTCGCCGCTCTTCGCCCCAACGCCCAGCAAATCCCCCCCCCAGATGGGCCTTGGTATGCCTCATCGCCAAAGACCTCTGGCGCGTCTCTTAGTCGCGAGGTCGAAGTCCGACTTGTAGCCAGCAACGAGGGCTTGGAAGCCTGGCGATCATCGGGGTGGGCAGCAGTGCGGTGGCTTCGTGGTGAACAAACATTGGCAGGAGTGGCAGCTGCAGAAGGTCCGTGAAAAACACTATGCAACTTCTATGTCTGTTTCTAAGGTCGATAACTCCTCAAAGTCAAAGTGGCCCCAATCCGCCCGCACTGAGGGTGCTGAGACGTTGTTTCAGTTCGCATAAAGCGCTGGCAATGGCTAGATCGTTCATTAAGCTTTAGCTTGGGGGGGATGCGTGTTTGCTCTAGTAATGTGTTTGAGGCTCTTTAAACGAACGCAATACATTTTGTAATGTTAGTTATGCTGCTCGAGTGAGAATGCATTTCTGGCATCGTGTGTGCTAGCCCTGTGGCCTTCCCGAAAGAGAAACAAGAAAACTATAAAAAAAATAATGTTAGAGATGCTTCCCGAATTGAATTGCATTATTGAAAGCGTGTGCGTGGCCCTGCATCCTTCTTTCCCGGCTCAGGGAGCACAATACTTTCCGGGTGGTCTTCGCCACGAAGCGGTCTGAATTACGTTCTCAGAACATGGACTCTGAAAACCACCGGTTTGTAGAGGAAACCAGTCTCTGAATGCCATTCGACCCACTTGTCAGGGTCTAGTTTTCAGGAGTCACTGCCCCTCAATCATACCAAGTACAGGTTGTAGGGAGACCCCACTGGAGACCTCCGAACCCACCCCGCCGGTGCCCGGCAAAAACCGTGGAACCGTGGCACGGGCCGCCTTGGCGTAGAACTCCTGGAGGTGGAGAAGGAATGGAGAAATACCACAAGGATCCACGTAAGTCCACTGGCAAAACCTTTTAAAAACTCCTGGATGGTTTCTCATGCCAGGACCCTCCAAGGGGTGGTTAATGGACACCCCGAATCACAGCTAAGGGGCTATAAATAGACACCCCGACAGGAGGGTTTCTCATATACATTCGATACAGAACTTATTCGATACACTGATGAGACATCTGGGAGAAGCATCTGAGCTACGCATCTCAACTGCGTCCGCACGACGCACGTCATCGACGCATCTCATGACATCGAGACGGGGCCGAAACATCACGGGCGTGGATGGCCATCGAGACGTGGATGGCCCCCCCCTATATAGGAATTACATGGAAAGACTCATGAAGTCCTCAATAGCCAAACACGGACTTCATATTTGGAGGGTATTCGAGAGGGTATAACAATTTTTATGAGCCACCGATCGTTTCTTCGCTCTTCGTGGTGGTTTGACACTGCGACTCCACACCTCTAGTGGCCTATTGCACCATTGACAGCCCTTAAACAACTCCCCCACGAAACAAAACTCACCAAACGGCTCTGAACATGGAAACGGTCAAACCCGGAATCCACGAACTTGTGTTCCATCAGCTTTCTAACTTGGTGCAGTCTTTTTTTGTGCCAACATGGAGACTCGACTGTCAGTCTGCCTCATCTTCGATTGGAGGGATCAGTTGGGTAAACAAAAACGACAGGTGCCACTTTTGGTCTGCAACATTAAGGATACAGTACAGTACTTGACCATCCCCCAAACGGGCGCTGAGCAGAACATCCATGGTTTCTTGATGTCTCTTGATATGGTTGGATCATGTTGGATCTGCGCAAGCTTCAGGAATGTGTGTTTCTTTTCTTTTCTACGTTCCCTCGCAAAGTTAACGCATGCGGTCCGGTGGTGGGCAAATCTTACATGCCCTGCTATAGATTCCCAACCCGGTCGAACAAAAATCACTGTTTTTAGATCCATACACTCCCTGGAATCATGGAACTGGACCACCGCCACAAGAAGAAGACACAAAAGTAATAAATGTGTGTTTTCCCAGCCAGGGACGCTGTGTTTTCGCTCCAATTCTTTCCACAAAACATCATGATGGAAAAAACAAAATACGAGAACACCTTGTTCTGAAACAAAAAGAACATCGCTCCCGCGGTGGGATCCTCCCCGCTGGGATCCCACCACCCGACCTTGAGGACAAGGATGGCCTTGGCCACGGCCTCCTGGCCAGCCTTGGCTTCCTTCCAGTTGGCCTGATCGCGGATCGTGACTTCGGAGTCCTAACTGGTGGATCGTGGCCTTCGTGACCTCGGAGTCCGACCGATCTCCGATGAACCCGATCATCCGACAAGACGTCTGAATTCGATCGCTACATGGTGGACTGGTCGGGTTCCAGGTTGAAAGATCCAGATTTTTCACATCGAAAACCACCACACGGCGATGCGGTTTTGCAATGTTTGGAACACCGTGGATCCAGACACAGGAAGCAAACACAACGAAGGTCATTTAGTTTTTCCACAAAACATCAAGAAAAACAACTGGCCAGTAGAGGATCGATCTTTCAGTCATCAAAAAAATCCCAGTTCTTACATTCTAGATCATTCTAGGGGTCTAAAGCAAAGCGGAAGGGTCCACCCGATTGTTCTTTTTTACATTGGTTTCAAGAGCAAGATAACCCCCTTTGCCATTGCATGTGTCAAGACAAACTGTTCAAACCTATTCTGAACAGTTTTATTGGCTCTGCTCAATCACCAACGATTGGCATAATCGGCTGCTTGCTCAGCTGCAGGATCACCCAAAACTATCCCTATAGGATCCTAATGGATCCTATTGGGCTCCAACCACCTCCTCAGGAGGCAGCGGAGCCGTGCCAATTCGTCGGTCTGAATCAGATTATGGATGATTATGATGATTGTGGTGGATGTATACATTACAATACTGATGGGTGAGTGTCAACGACCTTTCCATTAGTTTGTCTCGGTCGTTTCAAGCGATCATGAGAGAGTCGAGAAAAAATAAGGCCACAAACCGTTTTGGGAAAAGTTGCCACTCTAACCCACAAAACATCACAAAACCCTCATTTTTGCATTTGCATTGATTCGTGAGCGACACCGGCGACGGTGTCAGGTTCTCTCGTCACGTCTCCAGCACCGGCCCACGCACCGTCTACGGCGCCGTTTCATGGTGCGAAATCGCCATGCCTCGTTCTTCTCCTTCTCTTTCGCACGAAGCTCAGTGGCCTTCAAATTCGTGCACTCTTTTTGGCCCGGAACATGGTGGCATCACAATTGACCCTCTGGGGAGTGCAGTCCGTGCATGCTTGTCTGGTCACTTAGAGATTGGTGTGACTGGGGCATCAAATATCGGATCTGAACCGCGAGCAGCAGATCGCAGTGGCCACCACCCTGATGTCAGACAGAATGCCGGAATATACGTCAGTAGATATATCAGATAGAATATCAAAGAATATGCCCGAAAATATGCCAGATAGAATGATTGCTAGTTAGATAGGAATGACAAACTGAATGCCAATAGCAGTATCATGATATGTATATGTCAAATAGAATGCCACAATAGATGCCCAATAGAATGTAATAAATGCCAAATAGAACGTCAGAATAGAATAGATGCTAACAACATGTCGTCACCATAGGCCACAATATAGATATGCATATACTGCATATATGCCAAATAATATGCCAGAAATCATGTCAGAAGGTATGCCACGGAGACAATGCCAGAAATAAATGTACAGGAGAGATTGGACCCACAGTCGCATCACTAGAGTGCAGTGAAACCAAAACCTGGCCTTTAAATGCCATGGTGAGGGGTCACTCGAAGTAAAGAATTCTAAGCCGGCTAGGTGTTTCAGAGATCACCCGCGATTCCAAGTGAGCCATTCTTCCCCGAGGAAGAAGTGATGAAAACGGCTTAACCATCCCCCAAGAAAGGTGGTCAACGAGACACCACCAATCTGAACCGTACAAAATCTACAAAACACACCCAGCAACTAAATCTTTCGCCTTAAGAACAAACATTAACCAACTCTCTACCCAAACAGGCTGCACCCTGTAGGGGTCTGGCACCGGTGCAACGTTTAGCAGTTCGTCCCTCTAAGACTCTAAGCCTTCATATCCGAGGCATCTCAGAACCCCCGGTGCTTAGGCTACCGGCTACCCCATAGGCGACCCCCCCCGGGACGGCTCGGTCTGGTCCTGTGTCTCATCCGTTCGCACCTGGGAGACCGCAGCCTCGAGCTCAGTGAGCTCGCTGGCGAGACCCGTGGTGTCCTTGAGAGTTGGACCGTTCAGACGGCGAGGCCGGGGATTGGAGGAGTCATTTTCGGGTATATAAATGCATGGTACTATGCATGGTATACATGAATATGCATGGTGATATGTGGGTAGGTCCCCAAAGAAATTGCTCCATGACCCTTTGTTTATACCCTACGACGTCAGGACGTCTGGGATCGGTTAACTAAACCATTCCAAATCCGACGACACGTCGACCGTTTGGACGACACGTCGACCGATTCGCCGATTCGCAGCTCGGAGCTCCTTTGGGCCGTTGGAGGCCACGGTGGTTGGCGAGATGCGGTGGACCAGGAGACGGTGGTTGGCGAAGCTGAAAGCGGTATTAGAAATCGATGGAAATCCATGTCATAGTTTGTGTTTTTTAACAAACATCTACACCTCCAGGTGGCAGGTCTAAGCCAGGTGAAAGCTGAGACCTTTCTTGGCTGAGATTGAACCTGCTTTCCCTTCAACATCAAGCAGTTGCTATAGCTGCTGGTCCCCAAATCCAAGCCCCAATGACATCTGTCTCGGATTTGTACTTGGATGTACTTGGGTAGGCCATTCCTTTGCACATCGGACTTGTAGGAAGGCTCTTCACACCTGGTGCATCTGGGAGTGAGGTCCTTTAGCATCTGAGGCCAATCTGTGGTGTTTGAGAGTCTGCTTTCTTCGAAGATACGCACAAGTCTGAGGCTGAGGTGAGGGATTCAAATACAAATTAACAATAATTGAATAATTGGAGCCCTGGATACACAAATTAACCATTTGAGGCAGAGGAACTGGAGGTATGATGAGGTATGGTATTATTTCAGACTTGGAGCCCTAGGGATACACACAATCACAAATTAGGGTGCTTGCGAACGACTTGACGAGATCCCCTCCAACAACTCGCAGGTGGCACGGCAACGCGAAAAAAGACCGACCCAGTCTTGGACCCCAAGTCTTGTAGCCAAATCCTCCAAGATCCGCTCAAAGGGAGAAAACCGAAACCAGAAGAAACCAGTGCACCGCTAGAGCCTTCTCTGGTAGATCCTCCTCGAAGGGAGACGGGAAGGATCCGCTCACAACCCGAAGCCCAACGGATCGGGAGGTTCCCTCCTCGTCCAGCTTCTCAAGCTCCGCCTGCACGGCGTGGCAGGGGTGACAAGGGCGGAGGTTCGGGAAGGGTTCTCCGCCCAAAGAAGGGGCGTTCAACTTCGTGCAGGATGCCAAACGCGTCGTTCTTCTCTTTTTGTCCCAAGAACAAAGCAAATCAGAAACTTGAAAGCTGAAAGGCAAGTATTTGGAGTCTCAAAGGACCTTAGAAAATAAGTACAAGTACCTGCTTTATAAGGCATGTCACACTTGTCTAGGGTACTTTGGAGGGTCCAGGTCATTGGAATCGCTTCTGCCTTGTCTGCCTTGTCATGGTGCAGTTCGCTGGAATTAGGTTCATGGCCCCAAGTCTGAATCCCGGCAGACTAGAATGAATGCCCATCCACAATCCATTGGACTGGAAGATGTGCCAAAACAGGAGTGATATGTTCAGATGAAGACTTCAATGAGTCAATGGTCAAACTTCCAGCCCCAATCGGTCTCAGATTGGCAGTCGTTGCTATGTGAAAAACATCCGAACACTTGCACCGGCACCTTCATCATCTTCCCCTTTAAAATCTCTTTCTGCTTGGTGAATTCGGAGTGTTTGTATCAAGGAAAAAGGATGGGAAGGGCAGTTTACCCATTCATCGATGTCCTTACACAGCATGATGATGCCCTGGTCAGCAATCAGTTGATCACGCTAATTCAGTTCAACAATGTTTCGATAGGAATCCATACAACACTCACTTGCGGTCTCAAACTGCGCCCCTTGCGCGACCCGACCCGTCGTCGCTCCGTTCGGCCATCGCACGTTTTCTCTCACCAGCTCAAGTGCGAAGACCCCATGCAATCTCTGTGTTTCGGGTTTCGGCTTTACGTCCAGCACATCCTCGCCGTCTCTCACATCTTCCCGTCGACGAGTCGAACTCTTGGATCCGATGTCGGCCGTAGAAAGAAAAAAGCTAACTCCCTGGCCTGAAGCTTATCCATCTCTGCCTGGAGTGTACTCACAGCATCACTCTTCTCCTGAGGCTCGTTCGTTCGTGCGTGACCCGAAGCGCGACCCGTGCGGACGGAAGCGGCCGCCTTCCGACCGTTCGGAACACCCAGGAACACCGATGTACGTTCATGTTCGTCGTGTTTTGCCGTGTTTTTGGTATGGCCAACTCGAAACATGAGGTCGTTCACTGACCTGTATATGGCTACGAGTCGGTCCCAAACCCTGTGTCATTTGCCTCGCTCTACAAACCGGTCATGCTGGTTAGGTAGTCACAGCTTCCTCAGGGAGGAAGCTCAAACAGGCTGTCTGAGTACTGCTCTGTCACCTGCTCTGTCTGAGTACTCTGCAGTTTGAGCAGTACGTTCTCTTCAAGTTGAACACTGACAGCCAACTACCATGCCTGGCGATGCTGTTCCTTTCGAATTGCTGTGAAAAACACCGGAAATTCCTTCCGGGGGGCACCACTCCGTGTAACACGCTGCATGCTGCACGCGCTCCTCACGCGTCTGCTTGTTGGTGCTTATCTCGGAATCGCACCAAGCCTAAGCAGAAGCTGGCAGAAGATGGTGCAAGGCTTCTCAGGGTTCAAAGATGGAAGTGAATCGGCTCAGAAGAAGGAAAACAAGCTGGTAGAACCTCAGCGAGTATGTGGTAACCATACAAGCTACATGAATGACCCCTGAATTCAACCATCGGTCTCCAGCAGTACAATGTGATTAAAAAAAAACGGAAGCGGCCGCTTCAGCGCGGACTCAACCCAGCGAAGTGAGTCGAAGACTTTTGCCCAACAAAGCGTGAGTGCTTTCCATCCACGCTTCAGGTCTTAAGTCAAGGGCGAGGCCTTAAAATCATCTTTGGACTCTTCCTCAATGGCAAGAAGGGAAGGCCTCATACCAAGTCGCCATCTTTTTGTGGAATATCTCAGTATACAGTATGTCCATATCATGGCCACCTCCCTCCTCCCTATCTCCCCACCTTCGGCACCCCACCGGACCCAGTTCACCGCACCCCCCCCGGCGCCTTCTTGGTGGTCTCCGCCTGGCCCTACGGAGACCAACGCATCGTCGGTGTCGCATCGGAGACCGGGTCGCATCTTCTACAAGACTCGTGGGGTCGAAAGGAGAAACGAACACGAGTTCATGATCTTGGACCCTCTTGGACGGCCGCCTTCATTTGTTCTGTTATGTTCTGTTATATAATCCAACTCATTATATATGGCGCCATGTGTCATGGGAGACTGAAAACACCACCGAACGATGTTCGCACGCCCTCGCACGCAGCGCGGGCCTGCTCCTCCAAACGTGTGATGAGCTGCTCGATCATCTTCTTGACCTTCCATCTTCAGCTGCAAAGATACATTCAACATAGTCCAAACATATCCAAACATTAATATGTACCCTATATACACATGTATAATGTCATGTATACTAAATTGTATGCAACAATACGTGTGATGTTTCGTGCCGTTGTGTGATGGCCTCGGCCGTTGCCGTCACGCCAAGGAGCCGTTCAGTCTTCCAACACGACATCCATACAACGTCCAGGTGCCGGGGTGTGGTTTGCCTCTTTCGTCCCGCTTTCCAACAAGAAGAGGATCTCAACAAAAACCTTGAGAAAGGATGTTCCGTTTTTGTTCAGCAGTTACAGCTGTTCCTATTTTGAGTGCTGTTGAGTTTCATCCAGTGAGTGGATAGTGACATGGGCATTGGAATCCCCCTCCAATAGGCAACCCCATTGGTCTTTATTGTTTTAGTCCAAGGAGATGGTTCTGCCAAGCCATCTTGCAAACACCTCCAAGCATGGCCTCAACCTTTGGATATCTCGCTGTGAACATGGAGTCTGCAAGGGTTTGGCAATATATTAGAAACATGGTGTGTTTTTTGGAGAGCTCGCAGGTCCTTCGACCCCCTGGAAGAAGGAACATAGACAAAACCCAACTGGTTTGGGTGTCTCCCCAATAAAAATGGACCCACATCTTGGTGGGCGTCTGCATGGAAGAAGAAGTAGTGTCACTCAGGTGGACCATCGTTCAGTGACATGCTGCACCGCCAGGGGCCCACTCGCCCACAACCGATGGCCCACTCGATTCTCGAATGCTGTTCCAACTTGGATTGGACATTCTGAGGATCTCAAACCCTATGGATCTGCCACCGAACCTGAGAAGGACATACTGAACCTGAGGTACGGTGATTGGAGATGATTTATGTAGGCGCCAGGAGGGTCCAATGACCTCAGGTTCGGTGGCAGTGGATCCATAGGGAAAGAATGTTGCAAATCTTTATGCGAATCTCATCCGTGGACGGCATCCACTACCACGGTCGCATCCGCGTGAAGAATCCTGTTTCGTCATCCTAAGTCCCTCACCTACGGTCTCCTACTGCTGGTTTCTGAAATCATTCACGCACAAAGTTGTTCTTAAATGGCATCTTCACCTATACCATGTTCTCAAATGGGTTCACCACACAAGTGCATGGACCACAGGGCTAAGCGTTTTTGACTCAATCTCATCAGAGATCTCCAATCCTTTCCCATGATCTCCATCGATAAGCACCTTCTGGTCACCAACTACCTTCAGCAAATCTCACCAACGCATCAACTTCATCAATTTCATGACACTCCTTCTACTACATCTACTACACCTTCTACCCTCATCCTCCCTCATCTTTCTCCACCTTTCTCAACCTGCCATCGCTCTAGTTGCTCGCTCTGCTCGCTCTGCTTGCTCGCGAGCAAGCCGCTCTGCCGCTGCTCAACGACAGTCGATTGATCTCACACCGCCCGGCTCGGCGCGGGTCCCGCGCAGCGCGGCTCGTGGAGCTCCTCGCCTTGCCCATGGGATCCGCAAGGGCACGCTCCGCCAGCGCTGAGAGGACCCGGCTGTTGATCTGGGTGGCCTGATGGAGATGGAGGCAGAGCCGAAGACGGAGTGACTTCTTTCGTGTGCCATTTTTGGAACGTCAATGAACGCCTGGCTACCATCCTGCCTGTGGTGACTGCCTGTGGTGGGAGCGTGTTTATACATGTTCAATCTCCAAGAACTTTCATGAAACCACTGAATCCACTAGGGCGTGCATCATTTCTACCTTCGTTTCGAAGCACGGCGCGCGCGTGGTCGAAGCCGCGCGGCGCCGAGTGGTCCGCTCGTTTCCCCCCAACCCATCCTCACGCTGCAGAAATCGAGCCACTTGTGCCTGTGCAGGGCATGCGCCAATTTGGTGTCGCAACGTGAAACCGTTTTTTTTCCATAGAAAAGGTACACGGTGGACCAAGAATCCAAAAAAGCAACGAAAAACATGTGCAACGTTTGAGATCGGGGCAAACAAAGAACCCTTGCCATCTATGTTTTTTGCATGCTTGTAGTGATATTTGTTGTTCTTTCTGATGCCATGGCCGCGTGAACAAACTCAAGTTGATGTCATAAAGGCTTGTGAGTTTGATGATTCCGAAAATAGATCACTCGTACCTAGCACTTACCCATTGGCTTCTTGCCTTCCCACAACGCCAAAAGAATTTCCACGAGAAGTTGCGCTTGGACTTTCTCCCGGGGCTTTCTTAACATGGACAATTGGGAGTCGATTTTGACCAAGCTTGACCCCCTCAAAGTCATCAGTGGCTGGATGCTGGTGGGGTTCTGACAGTGCGCAGGCTCGGGGCAGAATCTTTGGGCCTAGTTCATGAGTCACTGGTTCTAGTGGTGGAAAACACAGCAGCGACCGTTCATGAGAGGTTCGGTCTTCTTTTTGTCAAAACCCAGACCATCCATGTATGGAATAGTTACCTATACGACATTAGGGTCATAAATGGGGTCAATGTAACAAACATCGATTGGGCCAGGTGCTCACCCGATGCCAAATGCTCACACACCTTTCTTTTCCACACGATGTGAGTGTGAACCCGCTGAAGATGTGATCAAGAATCATCGCGATTTGTCGTCTTACAGTTCTTATATTTCCAACATGAGGTGTCTTCCTTCAATTGATCCATCTTGGTATTGGCTGTTGTAGCCACATCACTAACATCATTCGTCGAACAAATCAATCAACTTCGTCCGTTTTTCATCCATCACGGATTTACTCCCCCACAAACTAACATAGAACCTGAGAAATTTACGTGTGGAAAACGATTTTCCTCTACAACCCAGTAGTTTGGGGGTTCCACCTTAATCTGCAGGGGAGTATCACGGGGTCGATGCGGGCGGAAGAGGGCGCCGTTCACAGAACTCGCGAGAGTCCAGCAATGGCACCGACCAACAAACCAACACCTCAGTTGAAGTCAGTCACGAAACAGCGGGAAAGGAAGCTCCGAGGGCGAAAAAAGAACGACTTCAATAAACAGACTGCCAAACTTGACCTGTTACATCCTCTTACTGTATTTTGAGTGTCGATCAGTGAAACCAGTGGAGATCATGATGGTCATGAGTCGTGCAATCTTGTTCAAACAAGATTGGCCCAACAGCTGGTCAACAGGGTCTGCCTGACGGATTGAGAACCTGGCGGAATCCATCATTTCCAAGGACCCATCAAAAAGGCGCCCTGCACACCCAGTTTGGTCCAGGCTATGTGGCAATGATCAATACCTTATGGAAAAAAACACATACAACAACATGAATCATGGTGCATGGATGTGCATGGATACACTGCAGACCCGTTTTTTTTGTGGAATGAAGATTGACTCGCGCCCCATCGACCCCCAAACGCCCCGAACCCCAAACATCCTCAAACGCTCATGTTTTCGAGGAAACATTGCGCTGTTGGGACGGCAGACGGTCTCTGCAGTGATCTTGACGCTTTCCGAGTGACAGGCCAAACAAACCAAAGCCATCAAGGGGTGGTAGAGGAGGTAGGCCAAAGAAATCACCTGAGAGGTACGCGTAACAAACACATCAGCAGATCATTTTTGGGGGTGGGGTGGTGCTTGTTGAATATGCTTGAAACATGGATCCAATCAGCTACAATTGGGCATAGGGGGTGTAGGGATCTTTCCTTTCAGTCAAGCCTGAGGGGGGGAACGAAAGCCAGCGCCTTTTTCCCAAGCAGCGGGAGCCAAAAACTGGTTCAATTGCTCGCTTGTTGAATCTGTCGACGTGTTTGGTTCCAAGAACCCTTGGCTCTAGCTGTCAGCGCGTGAAAGCAGAATGAAAGCAGTATGCAAGCATAAAAACATAACGAAAGCAAATGAAAGTAGAATGAAAGCAAAGCCTCCTTTCTTTCTCGACATAAGCCTTGTTGACGATCTTTGACGTAACATCATAATACAACTTTGTGATGCAAATGATGCAGCAACATTTTTGATTTGCATCATCTGCATCGCTAAGTGACAAAAAGAAACACTAACCCCACCAAGCTATTATGATGTGTTTTTTGTTATTTTAAGCAACTTTTTGGCCGCTCTCCTCCCCACACCCCCATTATTCATTTCGTTCGCAGGAACAACCTCAGCCTTGCCTATCGGCTGGCTTTCGTAATTTTTGATCACGTCCGGTCTTCGTCGAGGTTGTTGAACAATGACTCCTGCCTTCCTCCTGCCGCTTTTGGCGGCTTGGGGTTCTCTGAGTTTCTCCTTCACGAAGGTTCATGAGGTTCATCGAAGGTTCTACCAGTTCTGGTAGTAGTGTTCTGCAGGTAATCCACTGAGTGGGTAGGTCTCTGCGATCTTTCCCCCCGAACAGTCAGAGAAGTAAGCTACTCGGTCTTTGATTTGTGGTTCGATTTGTTCGCAAACAACCATTTATATTTGCATGTTCTGTTTGCAGGACAATTGTGGATTGCACAAATGACAGGAACCTCAAACAAGAAGGCGGGATTTGATACTGGGGATTACAACAAGATCACGACAAGCTTAGATCAATCAAGACCAGACGATCGTCAAACACACGTTCTACTACACGTTCGTAATACGTCGTATACTTTCCTATATATGGTTTAAGAGGATTTGGGTTGACACTATGACAAATGACTAAGACAGATTGGCAGTACAACAAATGTTGTTGGTCAACACTGGATCGCTCCCGCCGCGTGGCGATCGTCGCAAGCACCGCGGTGATGAGCAAGATCACCACAGCTAAAATCCACGAAGTACCTGGGAACTTGGAGCCAAAGTCTTCGATGGGTCCGCGTGGTATGAAAACTGGTGGACCCTCGTTTTTCCGAACATGAGCAGAATAGACTACCAAACATGGCCAACCTACGATGAAACGGGCTCTGGCTTTTGACCCACAGCCATGTGCCGTCATGAGGGGTGGCATACTTCCAATCACGAAGTGGATGTGCATTGATCTTTGGGGGTGAAACAACAAAAGGAAGCACCGCATATAAGCCCTACCTAGTAACTCATAAGTGTGCATTGTGTTAGTCATTTTGGAAAAAAACAACAGTGTTTTGTGAAATAATGACACTTTCTCAACTTGACAGATCCCAATATACACTTTTTGGTATTTCACAACATTCCAGACATGTTACATGAGAAACCGGATCCAAAGGGTTCCCAGCGGGCTCAAAAGAAACACCAAAAAAACAAGGGCGGAAATACCCGTCCAAAAGGCGGAAATCGGCGGAACAATGTTGAAGGGTTAATTTGAAGTGGATCTGTGTCCACTGAAATGGGCCAGGAAGACACGATAGCACTTTTCACTCCCGATTACACTTTTGCTTGAAAGAGTACGTTTTTTGCTTCCAAATCAGCCGATGACAAAAAAAAGGAAGAGTTGGGTTTTCAAGGTAGGGATCCAGTCGTACCTTCTCAGAAGGTACTTGGACTTGGACTCTCCAAACCTACATGTCTCAGTGTCTCCTGTCACCTGAGAAGGTACAACTGGATCCCTAGGGAAGGCAAGACTTGTCCGCAGCTTCGTTTTGCCGACGTCCCGTCGACTGCGGCAGACTCACAGAGTCCACCAGGTGGACAGGTCTGGGTGACTCGTTCGTTGGATCCGTGACGTCCACCGAGCAAGGGAACGAGACGGTGCGTGAACGTTGGAAGAACGCAGGATCGCTGTACTGTACGTTTTTTCGGTCAGCTAGGACCGGTGTGTGTTTCACCAACCCAGCAACGGTTTGGATTCAAACACAGGAAATATGTCAAACACCTGGTCACCGGACCAAACAAGGTTTGCACATTTATTAATTGACTAATATGACATGTGTTTTGTATAGACTGGCAACGGATTGGACACGTCCAATACTCAAACATGGGGTGTTTTTAAGATGAACACCTCGATTGGACCCTTCCAGGTGGACCACGGCCGATGTGACGGTCAACCCGTCAACCCGACGTCCCGGATCCGCGAAGCCCTTCGACCTTCGAAGGTGAAGTTCTCACCCCTTCATCGACTGGGGATACTTCTTCGGAACCTGGACAAAATTACAAATGATTCACCAGTGGGGATTCACCCAGTTCATCACACATCTCCTGATTCGCAATGGCGCCAGGTCATCCCCCAAACACCCCTGTTTGGTCGTCTCCCCTTTACGAACCGTACGACGTGTACGTTTCTTCGCCCGTACGCCGTCGACCCCGAGCAGTGTCGGGCTCGGCCTGAGCTGATGTACTTGCCCAAAAAGGGAATGATATCAAGTATGACCTGAGTGCAGCCGCGCTTGCGGTCAAGCACTGTGATGTCATGTGTGAAGTATACCTGATGTCAAATCGTCCTTCAGAATACCTCTTGAATGTTGCCCTTTAGTATGGTTTTCATATATTGTACTAGTTTTGTTTTGATGTTGTTTTACATAATTCCGAAGCTTCAGGTCCTTCATGCAACCACCCTCAGGCAACGGATGGTCTGTGTCGGATGGTTTTCAGCACGTCTTGGGTGGACACCAAGCTGATCTCTGCAGGTCTCCTCCCCGGTATCTGATATCTTTGTGCCTTCAATGAAGCCATTCTGAAGAACGTTCTGAAAACATCCGTTCTGTGAGGAAAACAGCAAAGCCATGGCCATGATCTGTCGATTACGTCATGGAAAACAGCAAATAGAGCACAAAACAACTCGTAATATAGGGTCTCTTGCTCTTGCCAAAGCAAGGTCTGTCATCACTCACATGATTCCTCTTGACTGGCACCTGTGTTGAGCTATTCCCACCATGGTTTCACCAATAGTAGCTCTGCACTTGAAAAATAGACAACATAGTTGCACTGGAACAGCTCCAGACAGCTCTAGTATGAAACTTGCCCCACAAAAATACGATCATAC